ACAGCTGTCCTGTCCTTAAAAAACACACACCTGTTTTGGGTTTACTGGTTTCAAGAAGCACTGTCTGATGTGAACCATGACTCGCAGAAAAGAGCTCTCAGAAGACCTACGATCAAGAATTGTTGACTTGCATGAAGCTGGAAAGGGTTACAAAAGTATCTCCAAAAGCCTTGATGTTCATGTGTCCACGGTAAGACAGACTGTCTACAAATGGAGAAAGTTTAGCACTGTTGCTACTCTTCCTAGGCGTGGTCATCCTGTAAAAATGACTGCAAGAGCACAGTGCAGAATGCTGCATGAGGTAAAGAAGAATCCCAGAGTGTCAGCTAAAGACCTACAGAAATCTCTGGCACATGCTAACATTTTTGTTGACACATCTACAATAAGGAAAAACATTAAACAAGAATGGAGTACATGGGAGGACACCACGGAGGAAGCCATTGCTGTCCAAAAAGAATATTGCAGCACGTTTGAAGTTTGCAAAAGAGCACCTGGATGTTCCACAGCATTACTGGCAGAATATACTGTGGACAGATGAAACCAAGATTGAGTTGTTTGGGAAGAACACACAACACTATGTGTGGAGAAAAAAAGGCACAGCACACCAACATCAAAACCTCATCCCCACTGTAAAACATGGCGGAGGGAGCATCATGGTTTGGGGCTGCTTTGCTGCCTCAGGGCTGGACGGATTGTTGTCATTGATGGTAAAATGAATTCCAGAGTTTATCAAGACATTTTGCAGGAAAACGTACGACCATCTGTCCGCCAACTGAAGCTCTGCAGAGGATGGGTGATGCAACAGGACAATGACCCAAAGTATACAAGTAATTCAACAAAACAATGGCTGCAACAGCACAGAATACGCCTTCTGGAGTGGCCCAGTCAGAGTCCTGACCTCAACCCGATTGAAATGCTGTGGCATGACCTTAAGAGAGCGATTCACACCAGACATCCCAAGAATATTGCTACACTGAAACAGTTTTGTGAAGCGGAGTGGTCCAAAATTACTCCAGATCGTTGTGCAGGTCTGATCTGCAACTACAGGAAACGTTTGGTTGAGGTTATTGCTGCCAAAAGGAGGGTCAACCAGTTATTAAGTCCAAAGGTGCACATACTTTTTACTCCCAGCACTGTGAATGTTTACATGTTATGTGCAATTAAACCATGGCAACATCTAATGTTTGTGTAGTATTATGTTCAGCAGACTGTGTTTTTCTATTGTTGTGACTTAGATGACATTCAGAGCACATTTTATGCCCAATTCATGCAAAACTCCATGTAATCCCAAGGGGTTCACATACTTTTTCTTGCAACTGTATAAATACACACACACACACACATACACAGTATACACACACACACACACACATATATATACACACACACACATATACACACACACACATATACACACACACACATATACACACACACACACACACATATACACATACACACACATACACACACACATATACACATACACACACATACACACACACACACATATACACACACACACACACACATATACACACACACACACACATATACACACACACACACACATATACACACACACACACACACACACACACACACACACACGATTTTGCACACCCGTGCCGCCCTGTAGCAGTATTTCAGGAAGCAGTTTATTACTATTCTATATTTTTCAAGAAATAAAATTTGATATCCTTGGGCCTAAAAGCTGGGTCACCATTATGACAGACCTCTCTTAGTACAGACAATGCTTATGTGGTCAGGCCTTTGCTGGGAAGGGGGGCAGTGGTCTTTAGTTGTTTTAAGCTGGAAATCCCCTTGAAGAAGCAATGTCGGAGAAATCTGTGCTACTAACAACAATCCCACAATGCAGGATAATACAGGCGCAGGAGGAGAGGGGGTGAAATCAGACACCAACCGTTCTCATTATTTTCCTTGCTAAATGAGATAAAAAAAGCTCTTTGAAAAAACACTAAATAGTTTGGGAGCAGCAAATAAAGACAAAAGGCTCATTGGGAATTCTGCAAACCCACACACAGCCTGCTAATGAGAGAAGCATTGTCCCGAGCCCGGCCTATTAATGTTCGGCCAAACACTGCCCTGACACAGCAGCCAGTGTTAACCCTGCACTGCAGGCCTGGTTGTTCCTTCTATCAATGTCTGTGCTGTACCTATCCTTTCTCCGACTCCAGACCACACAGCGTCACTTCCCTGATCGACCGCCTCCCAGCAAACCGCAGCAGAACTGGCAGCGGAGATCTTCCAGCATGCAGTACATTTTCTGACTGATCCATTTAGAAATGCCATTTTTGGCAGTGGACATGCAGCTTCAACAAGAATGAGAAGTCAAATTCTGTATTGGCTGCAGATGTTGCCCATGTATGGCCAACGTAAAGTTTAAAAGTTTTTTTTTTTTTTTAGTAGCTACAAATGCTTTAGCTGCTGGCTTTTATAAATCAGGTACTTGCCATTGCTTGGAGTCCAGCTTTGTCTTCCCACAGCCAATTCTTCTTAGCTTTTTAGACATGGGAGCCAGCTGTGGCTTCCTGAAGAACCAAATCCAGCTCCCCAGTGCAAACGCACGTGCCTGTGCTGCACTTGTGAATGCCCTGCAGCCTCCTAGGTCATGTGATATGGCCCAGGAGGTTGTGGGAAGAAAGGGAATGGGGCAAAGGATGCAATCCTCTCTTAGGCGAAAATGGGAGAGGATACCCATTTAAAAACAAAAAACCCCACCACATCCCCACACATGGTACATGCTCCCAAAAAGTCCCATAACACAGGCTGGGGGAGGGAAACAGCAGGACTTCACTTTTTGAGTGAAGTTCTGTTTTAAGAAGTGTAATTACCTGAATATGACAAGGTATCATCCTCTTTCTTGCAGTCCCTGTACAGCAGGGCTGAAGCGTAAGGGGAAGAAGCAGTGCAAGGAGCCAAGCATGTGCTGACAAGAAGTATGCTAATAGGTAGGAGAAGCAGCATTGCAAAGAGACAAGCTCAACCCCGTGCTGCTCCTCCATTCACTGTCCAGTCACAGGCTGGGGCGGGTCTAGGACATCTCACAGGGCATTTGAAGATTGTCACGTGATGCGACTTTAAGGCCTGCGCAACACCCTCAATAACGGTACATGTGCAATAAAATTCGATGCCTGTGTGAAAATGCTCTAAAATCGGGACACAGTAACAAACACAATAAAGCCAGCAGAGGTTCCAAGTCTTCCCTACTTGATCTAACCTTTTTGACTGGACTTCAGCTTTGAATCGTTTTTGTGCTCACCCAATGCCTTAGCAAATCCAGATATTACCTTGTATAAGTGGCAGTGACATCATCATTGTGCTGTACATAGTCTGTGCACAGAGCAGAGCTGTAGGAAGGGCCCAGCAGCTCCACCCCACTACAGGCTGTCTGCAGGAGGGGGCGGAGACAAGACCAGTCACTCTGCACAAGGAGAGAGAGAGCAGCAGTGAGCGGTCTCTATTACAGGAGGGGGCGGAGACAAGACCAGTCACCCTGCACAAGGAGAGAGAGCAGCAGTGAGCGGGTCTCTATTACAGGAGGGGGCGGAGACAAGACCAGTCACCCTGTATAAGGAGAGAGAGCAGCAGTGAGCGGACCTCTATTACAGGAGGGCGGAGACAAGACCAGTCATCCTGTATAAGGAGAGAGCGCAGCAGTGAGCGGTTTTTATTACAGGAGGGGGCGGAGACAAGACCAGTCATCCTGTATAAGGAGAGAGAGCAGCAGTGAGCGGTTTTTTATTACAGGAGGGAGCGGAGACAAGACCAGCCACCCTGCACAAGGAGAGAGAGCAGCAGTGAGCGGTCTTTATTACAGGAGGGGGGCGGAGACAAGACCAGCCACCCTGCACAAGGAGAGAGCAGCAGCAGTGAGCGGTCTTTATTACAGGAGGGGGCGGAGACAAGACCAGTCATCCTGCATAAGGAGAGAGAGCAGCAGTGAGCGGTTTTTATTACAGGAGGGGGCGGAGACAAGACCAGTCATCCTGCATAAGGAGAGAGAGCAGCAGTGAGCGGTCTTTATTACAGGAGGGGGCGGAGACAAGACCAGTCCCCCTGCCCAAGGAGAGAGAGCAGCAGTGAGCGGTCTTTATTACAGGAGGGGGACGGAGACAAGACCAGTCATCCTGTATAAGGAGAGAGAGCAGCAGTGAGCGGTCTCTATTACAGGAGGGGGGGGAGACAAGACCAGTCACCCTGTATAAGGAGAGAGAGCAGCAGTGAGCGGTTTTTTTATTACAAGAAATCTCACACTGGATTGCTGCGCCGACCTGGAAGAAATACACAAAATTCACAAAAAGATTCAATAAGAATATACTTGCCTCTTGTATTTAGAAAATATCTACTCCATCACAGAGCTAATATTTAATTAAGTGCAACAAATCATAGCAACCAGAATTCATCTGTCCTGAGTGCTGTAAAATGCAGGTATTAGGACGCCTGGTGTGGATTCTTATACACAATTGCTACTTTTTGCAGATAAAGGTCTTAAAGTGTTTTCTAAACCCACAACAGTAAAATCAGTCTGTACTGTATATGCAGTAAAGCATGCTAGTTATTACTCACTGTGGAACCTAAGGGGTTAATCCTCTGCATTGTGTAAAAAGGTAGTTTGATCCTGTCTTCTCTGCCCCTCCTCTTGTTCAAATGTCCACATCTTATCTCCTGATAAGACAGACTGAACCCATAGCCACATGCTCAGTTTAGTGTGTATTGCTAGAGGTTTTTTTTTTTTTTTTTAAGCTTTGGTAGAGTGCATGTAATCAGCACAGGACCAATCAGCACTGTCCAGACAGAGGTCAGGGGTTTTGCATCCTCCTAGAGAAGAAAGAAAACTCCTACAAGCTTTAACCAGTGCTCTGCTGGACACTGATAGAAGTCACAAGACTGCTCTAACTGCTGATGAGAAAAGGGATTTACCAATTTATATTTACTAAAATAATTGCATTTCGCTGTTCTGTGTACTGTGGGTCCGGGGAGACCGGATATAGTGAATGCCGGGTCCGGGGAGAGCGGATATAGTGAATGCAGGGTCCGGGGAGAGCGGATATAGTGAATGCCGGGTCCGGGGAGAGCGGATATAGTGAATGCAGGGTCCGGGAGAGCGGATATAGTGAATGCAGGGTCCGGGGAGAGCGGATATAGTGAATGCCGGGTCCGGGGAGAGCGGATATAGTGAATGCAGGGTCCGGGGAGACGGATATAGTGAATGCCGGGTCCGGGGAGAGCGGATATAGTGAATGCAGGGTCCGGGGAGAGCGGATATAGTGAATGCAGGGTCTGGGGAGAGCAAATATAGTAAATGCAGGGTCCGGGGAGACCAGATATAGTGAATGAGGGGTCCGGGGAGAGCGGATATAGTAAATGCAGGGTCCTGGGAGACCAGATATAGTGAATGCAGGGTCCGGGGAGAGCAGATATAGTGAATGCAGGGTCCAGGGAGAGCAGATATAGTGAATGCAGGGTCCAGGGAGAGCAGATATAGTGAATGCAGGGTCCTGGGAGACCAGATATAGTGAATGCAGGGTCCGGGGAGAGCAGATATAGTGAATGCAGGGTCCAGGGGAGAGCAGATATAGTGAATGCGGGGTCCAGGGAGAGCAGATATAGTGAATGCAGGGTCCGAAGTTTAGTAACACTTTAATGGGGAGTGACACCGCCTATACACATTATCCCAACTGCACAGTAAGCCTGGATTGTACATACCACATGTATGGTAACAGTAGACGTCATTCTGTAATATGTATACAATTGCACAGGGAATGCCGTCATGCACACATGAATTATGAATAATAGCAATACTAACCCAACAATTTTAGATGAGGACAAGTGAAATCCAACTCCGAGTAAAGGGCAATATGACCTTTCTACGATATTCAATACCAAATAAACATTGTTGATAGTTGAGGGGAGAAGGAAGCAGAGTTAAAGTGTATGCAGACCCTAATAAAGTCCCTCTTCATCTCTGAATCTTTTCTTATATTTGAAGAAAAAAAACCAAACAAACTGTTACTCACGCCAGAAATCCAGTACACTGACAACATTGCATGCTTTCTGCCTCTTTTGCACTGTTATCAGTTAGCATGGTGGGGAGGTGATCTGTAGTTTACAGAGAGAACTGGGATCAATGCTATGTAGAGGGGCGTTTTGTAGTTCTAACACACTTCCTGGCCTAGGGTGACAATGTTGCATCCCCACAGAAACAATAGGATGAGAAAAAGTTGTCAATTTAGCCCAAGAAGTGTGTTACGGTCTGGGTCACCACCACAAGGTAAAGCAAAAAAAAAAAAAAAAATTTTTATTCCTTGGACCTTTTCACTTTTTTTGTGATGCATTGGAAAAAACTTTGCTTGCTTTATTTCCCAAAACTAGTGCCTTCAAAAAATCATGGAGATTTATAATATTACAGCAAGTGTTTCCCAATGGGCAGCACAGTGGCTAAATGGTTAGCACTTCCGCCTGGCAGTACTAGGGTCGTTGGTTCGATTCCCAGCCACGGCACCTCCTGCCTGGAGTTTGCATGTTCTCCCTGTGCCCGTGTGGGTTTTCTTCTCACACTCCAAAGACATGCTGGTAGGTTAATTGGCTCCTGTCTAAATTGTCCCTAGTATGTGTATGTATGAATGTGAGTTAGGGACCTTAGATTGTACGCCCCTTGAGGGTTAGGGACCTTAGATTGTACGCCCCTTGAGGGTTAGGGACTGATGTGAATGTACAATATATATGTAAAGCGTGGAGTAAATTGACGGCTCTATATAAGTACCTGAAATAAATAAATAAATAATGCCAGGACAAGCTCACGGCCCATTATTGCCGGTATTAGCACAGAGTAAGGACCCATTTTACATCTCCATGGTACGATAAAAACCCTTTATGTCACATATTAATGTGTACTGCAACCCATTTGGAAGCAAGTAGCATTTTTGGCAGAACACCACAATGCAGGTTAGCGTGTCTTGCTATGATACAACACATCTATAGGCAGGTTTAGAAGGGGTGCCATTCGTGAATGAATGGCACCGCAATGAGAGTCGCTGAATTGTGGTGACCATGGATGTTGTCACAACTAAACCCTATGAACCAAGTAGGGCCAGAACTGCAGTAAAGCCGAAGGCTAGGTTCAGCTTTGCAAGCCACGTTTTGCGCAGGAATGGCCACCCATTAATTTGAATGGGCTGCTGTGTCTGTTGAAATGCATTTTTGGAATCACAGCCCATACAGGAACCACAAGTGCTATGCGAATCCCAGTGAAGGAGCGGTCTCCAGTGAACGCAGCATACAATTATGATTAAGAGCACCCCACACACACAACCGCATTTGCACAGGTGGTTGCAGTTGCAGGGGCAAGTGCGGTCCAGCAGCGACAACCTAGCTGCTTGAGTTGCACAAGCCTATCCCCCCTCCTTGCCCGCATGTTGCTCCAATCAACGGTGCAGCAGAACACCAACAGCGAAGTAGGGCACAACTGCAGGCCAATTATTCACCACTGTATTGACCAAGGATGTCATGAACCTGGTTGTGCTGTCTATCAGGGGTGTCTAAACAAAATCAGTTTTTTTTTATTGTTTTTTTTTTTTTTTTTAACAAAATACTCTATTTAAATATTTCAGCTCACCATTTGACTGGAGCTTCTCTCTAATAGAAAACAAAGGAGACAAGATTCGTTATCTATCCAGGAAATTATATAGGAAAAAACAGCACTAGATCACCGTCTCCTTGCTGTCCGTTCAGAGATTACAAATATAGGATGTACTGACCGTGATCTCCTTCAGTTTTACAAAACCATTGTAGACAGAGAGCCATAATTCAGATCTGTCTGATAGAAGGACAATCTGTATTGTTCCATATTCAGTCTTCCATCCTCCAGCTGTTATTGCTCAGAGCAGGTTTGAACTGAAGTGGTTGCCATGAGGCGAAAAGCCCACCGCAGCCAATTCTTACCCTCAGACATTTGGATGAATGAGGCTGCATGTGATTAAATGAAGCACGGTGTTACAGAGCCGCCAACAACTCCAATTTTCAGGGACAAACCCAGCATGGGAAGGTCTGCCCCTGGAAAATGACTCTGGATTTAAACCAACTTGCCAATTGTACAAGAACATTTCCAAGCTAAATATTCGCTTCTCTCCTATTAATATTATAGATATATTGGGGGTTATGTACTAAAACTGCATGGTGCAAAATCTGGTGCAGCTCTGCATAGAAACCAATCAGCTTCCAGATTTTAATGAACAAGCTGACGTTAGGCTGGCCATACACTATACAATTTTCTGTCCGATTTCCTTTAGATTTACCTTCAACTATGTAGTGCAAAAGCCTGCCTAATTGGATACAACTGAAAGTGTTGTTTAGGTTTGACCTCCTATTACATGGTTTTTGGTAACTCTAAAGCAAATTTATCAAGAAAATTGTATAGTGTATGGCCAGCTTTAGAAGCCGATTGGCTCCCATGCACAGCTGCACTAGATTCTGAGAGCTCCAGTTTTAATAAATCCGCTCACAATATACAGTGACAGGATCAGTTTTCTAAAACTTGCACTTTTCAGCATTAAAAAAAAAAAAAAGTCATCCTTGAGATCCAGTCAATGATTTTGACTAGGCTTCTGTAGGCAGAGGAAAGCCTTAAAGTCAAGTCTCCCCCCGTACCCAGGGATCAGACTGTACATTGTACCTTCGTAGCGAGGCGAGAGGCTGCAGCAGGGGCTGATTTGTGTCAAACATTTGTTTGCTGTACATGAGCAAGGATTTCTACGATTGTATCATCTTGGAGCGGTTAGCTCAGTTCAAGAAGATGGTACGCCCCTTGAGGGTTAGGAACTGAATGTAATATATATATATATATATATATATATATATATATATATATATATATATATATATATATATATATATAAAAATAATGGCACTATACAAGTACCTGAAATAAATAAATAAGAAGTAAATTATGTGTCTAACAAAAATGGTACTGTCCTTCTGGAGAAAAAGAGATGAAGGTAATCTCTTACAGGTTTTGTATGGAGTAATAAAAACCTGGAAGAGTTTCTAAATTACTAAGCAAGCATGCATGTAATAGGAAAAAAAAAACAAAAAAAAAAAAACACATACATTGGATGCGATGCCAACTTTAACCCCTCAGCACTGCCTGTATGCATACAATTGGCAGCACAGCATTCGGGCTTTAAAGCTGAGCAGCCACATACATGCATACAGATGATGCCCCTTCTTTGTCCTGGGAATGCGCTCAGTCGGTGACCACACTGTCACTGACAGCCTCTAACCAGCATCTGGTGGGGCGAGCTTCTGATCACGTGATCACTGCCAGCTGACAGCCAGTGATCATATGACCATGAAGCCCAAGTAACATCTCTGGCGTTACAAACATTTAGGGCTTGCTCACATTTGATTTGATCTTTGAAGCAAATCGCTCTTCAGAGAGCATTTGACAGGCGGTGAGGAGGAGTATTACTGCCTCACCACCTGCTTTAACCCATTCAATCCCATACTAGCATGCTGCTGCCATGTACAGGGGTTAGGTTATAATTCCAGCCACAGCATGTTTACACCCCGGGCCACTGGCTCCGCAGGTAAAGGGAGGTTGTGGATAGGGGAGAGGAAAAAAGCACAGCTCAACCGTAGGATTTACAAACCCTCCCTTAGCCAAACACATGAGTGAATGAGTTCTTGCTGAAAAAGGTTAAGTATTTAGTGGCTAAGTGGTTAGCACTTCTGCCTGGCAGTACTAGGGCCACTGGTTCAAATCCCAGCCTTGGCACCACCTGCCTGGAGTTTGCATGTTCTCCCTGTGCCTGCGTGGGTTTCCTCTAGATATTCTGGTTTCCTCCCACACTATGCAGAGCAATACAAAGCAGTATGTCGGTGCTGACAGGGAGAGATCTGTATTGTTTACACACAGACCTCTCCCCTGTCACTGTTTCTCGGTGATCACCGGCTGCTGGCGGGGAATCTCTGGCTGGGACCCAGTGATCGACAGCTGTAGTACTCGGGTCGTTAGTTCAAATCCCAACCACAGCACCACCTTCCTGGAGTTTGCATGTTCTCCCTGTGCCTGCGTGGGTTTCCTTCGGGTACTCTGGCTTCCTCCCACACTCCAAAGACATGCTGGTAGGTGAATTGGCTCCTGTCTACATTGGCCCTAGTATATGTATGTATGAATGTGAGTTAGCGACCTCAGATCGGACGCCCCCTTGAGGGTTAGGGACCTCAGATCGGACGCCCCCTTGAGGGTTAGGGACCTCAGATCGGACGCCCCCTTGAGGGTTAGGGACCTCAGATCGGACGCCCCCTTGAGGGTTAGGGACCTCAGATCGGACGCCCCCTTGAGGGTTAGGGACCTCAGATCGGACGCCCCCTTGAGGGTTAGGGACCTCAGATCGGACGCCCCCTTGAGGGTTAGGGACCTCAGATCGGACGCCCCCTTGAGGGATAGGGACCTCAGATCGGACGCCCCCTTGAGGGTTAGGGACCTCAGATCGGACGCCCCCTTGAGGGTCAGGGACCTTAGATCGGACGGACGCCCCCTTGAGGGTCAGGGACCTTAGATCGGACGCCCCCTTGAGGGTCAGGACCTTAGATCGGACGCCCCCTTGAGGGTTAGGGGACTGATGTGAATGTACAATATATATGTAAAGTGCTGCATAAATTGACGGTTCTATATAAATACCTGAAATAAATAAGTAATTGGAGGATATTTGCAGCCATGACACTAAACACCACATTCCCTTCATGCATTAAGCTCACAGCTCCACAAGCTACAAAAAGGTTTATTGTGCTTTAATAAAACAGGTTGTGCCATGGGGGGGGGGGGGGGGTAACACTGCACACATAAGGGCACAGGTAACGTTATGGAAATAAAAAGGCAGGCACCCAGTAACAGCCTCAGGCTGGAAGAAGTTCGATTCAAGTATGTCAGCATTAAGGCATAGCTAAGCTGTATGGAGCGCACGCACAGTTGTTGTGCGTCTACAGAAGGTGTGCGGCACACACACGCACGCAGCCTTCCAGCTGTTAAAGGACAAGCTCTAGCGTGCGGAAGGGCATGCTGGGACATGTAGTCCCACGACAGATTGAGAAACTGCAGGTTGCGAATACATATCTGTACAATATACTGCATAATTACATAATTCAACAGGGGGAGGCAACTGTGGCTCCCGAAGGCCAATGTGGCATGCCTGACGAGTCACAGACTGCCTACTGCTAAGGCTACCTATAGAACAGTCTCAAGAAATTGGCAAGTTCCAGATATACATTAGACTTTGTTCCCGTTTATGGAATGATCTTTTGTCACAAAAATAATGCGGGCCATACATGGTTCGAATTCCGAACGATTTTTTGTCCTAAAATCAAAAACGGTTCCTCGGTTATCCGATGGTGCCATCGATTTTGAAAATCAGCCGACCGAGTCATAAAGTTCACCCCCACATAACAGGCAAAACTTCTGTTCCTTTCAGGTCGCGGCTCATGCGCATATTCTTTTCGGAAAAACGATCGTGCGATTTGACCATCATGGAGTCAAAAAAAAATCGGTAGTTTTTCACGAATTTTTCAACATGCCCGATGACCGAAAAGGGGAGGAACCACGAAAATCGGACGGTGCTTTTGACCCACTAACAGAGCGAAAAATCGGCCGATTATTCTTAGGTCTGATTTTCGGACGAAAAATCGGTTGAATTTCGACCCATGTATGGCCGGCCTTAGTCTCCTGTCTAAGCACAAGTAGGGGCTCTGAGCCCTCACAGCCTGGAGCACAATACATCCATCGAGCTTTAACACTTTTTAGCGGGGCAGAAGAAATTCCACCTCTCTGGCAAGACTGTACACACAGAGCAAGTCAGAGCTCGGGGCTCCCACTGCGGGCACAGTGCCATTTCTGGCTTGCACTGTGTGTACATGACAACCTCCAACATGTTTTCCTGTACCTGCCGACATGAAAGCAGGGCGGATTTGCTGGTTATCAAGTGCTAGACTTTGATAAACCAACAACAGTTATCGAGGCACAGTTCGTACAAAAATGTCCAGCATGCTGGAAAATGTCTGTAAGATACATTTGGCAAATGATGCTACGAAGGGTCTTCGCAAACAGGCTTGTGTGTGTTTTGTCACAGCAGATGGAAGACATGCCATGCCTAGGGGCTGGCCTTAGATGGCTGATCTAACAGAAGAGACATCTGTTAAACGGTCGATTCCTCGTGCAAATCCCAAGCCCCAATTCAGGGTGGGTATTTATATATTAAAAAAAAAAAAAAAAAAAAAAAAAGTACAATTCTAACACTATGAAACAAACTTTCCAATACTCCCGAACAGAGGGGGTTGTACCATGTAACAAGGAGAGCGCGGCTCTTCAGTCTTGACAGTTAACGTCCACAGAGTTCATACCCCCCCCCCACTACGTGGAGGACTTCTGGGCCTCTCTGGCTTGACGCAGTCCGTACAGCCATTTGATGACCCTGGCGTTCCGCTCGATGATGGAGATCCCGTACGGAATACGCGTGGAAGCCGGCGTCTCCTCGGGGGTAGCCACGCTGACCTGAGACTGGGCGTACTCCGAACTTTCGGCGCTGACGCTGTGGAACTTAAGGGACACGATGTCGGAGCTGGCGCGGACAAAGTGCTCGGCCCCAATATTAGAAACCTCGCCAGGGTCCAGTCCGCAGTAATTGAAGAAACGTTCGAGGTCGGCACTGGCTCGAGAGTAGCGGTCACTCAGGTCGGACTTGGAACGATGCAAGAGGGTTTGTTTTTTGCCCGGGTCATTTGGGGTGCTGGAGGGTGAACAGAGGGGGCTGTCAATAGTCGGGCATGATTTTGCGGGGGTCTCAACGGTGGTGGTAACAAGGATATCTGGACACTGAACGGGGGGTAGCACCTCACCTGGTCGAACATCCACTCTGCGCACTGCCATCGTGTTGGGAGTCCGATAGCTGGCCGGGGTGCTTGGGGTGGATGAATTTTGCGTCTTCTCCGGTTCCTGCCAAGGAACTTTGTCCGCCCGCGGAGAGGTCAGCGGGCTGTCACAGATATTAATCAGATTGTTCAATATTTCCAGATTCAAGGAACTTTTAGGAGCTCTGTTCTCCCCCCGGGGGGCAGCGGGGGAGCACCTGCGACTTGGAGTAAGCAGCACCCTCCGAACACCTGGGGAGAAAAGCGGCTGTCTGGACAGCACCGGCCTTATGGGCTCTTGCTTAGTACTGGCGACTTGCTTGCTCTTCACGTACTTCGCCTTGTCAGCTTCCAGCCTTTCCACCGCGCTGGGCTTCCGAGCTCCATTCTCAGCCTGACGCCGAAAGTATTCAGGGCCTTTGTTCAGTATGCGAAAGGGCATCACCGACGTGAGCGGGGGCTCCCATCCCAGCCGATTGCAATGTGCCAACAGACATGGTCACCTCCTGCAGTGCTCGCTCAGGACACCTCGCTGCGATGACAAGCGCTCTTCACATCTCCCGGCCTCCTGTCACTTCTTTCACGCCCCTGTGCAACGCAGAGAGAAAGATCAACTTACTGGTACAGGTTTACAAGTGTGTGCCGGTCTGACAGCATCGCACACACACAAGCCACAGGATCACACACAGCTAGAGGCGGGGTTCTCCCTTTACACTAAGTGGACTGTTCTCCTCCCCCCTCCGGCAGCTCTCTCCCAATCCTTTCCCAGTCACCTCTTCAAAAAACGTGAAGCTCCCACCCACCCCGAGTGGCAGTTGCTGGCATCAGGATAACTAACCAGCATCACCGACTCTCAGAGCAATCCCCCCCCCCCCCTCCTTTCCCTGGACATCTGTCCCCGGATCTCCAACAAAATGCCTGGAAATTTCCATTTAGTTGTTCTGGGACAAAAAGAAGAGAATGAAAGTTACAATGAAGAAAAGAGATCAAATCCTACAAGGATTGTGGAGGCTCTTTGACTCAAATCATTAAACAAGCTGGCACCTGTAGTTCCTCATCATCTGCCTCTGCCATGGAGGATTTAAATGGCCTATTTATTATACATCGCTAAGCAGCACCTATTGTGCATTCCCTTCCTGGTGATCAGCCCATAAAATGTGATGGAGAGTCTGTACAAGAAATGCTTAATAGAGAAACAAAGTAGAACTATTAGCAGAGCTCCTCACAAGATGTACAGAATCCGGGTGCAAAGCCCTAAACATAGAAAGCATAGATGCAAACCTAACCCCCCCCCCCCCCCCCCTCCAAATGCATAGATGCAAACCTAACCCCCCCCCCCCTCCAAATGCATAGATGCAAACCACACCCCCCCCCCCCTCCTCCAAATGCATATACGCAAACCTAACCCCCCCCCCCTCCTCCTCCTCCAAATGCATATACGCAAACCTAACCCCCCCCCCCCTCCTCCAAATGCATATACGCAAACCTAACCCCCCCCTCCTCCAAATGCATATACGCAAACCTAACCCCCCCCCTCCTCCTCCAAATGCATATACGCAAACCTAACCCCCCCCCCCTCCTCCAAATGCATATACGCAAAACCTAACCCCCCCCCCCCCTCCTCCAAATGCATATACGCAAAACCTAACCCCCCCCCCTCCTCCAAATGCATATACGCAAAACCTAACCCCCCCCCCCCCTCCTCCAAATGCATATACGCAAAACCTAACCCCCCTCCTCCAAATGCAAATACAGTATGCAAACCCAACCCCCCCTCCAAATGCATATACAGTATGCAACCCACCCAACCCCCCCTCCAAATGCATATACAGTATGCAAACCCAACCCCCCCCCCCCCCTATCCAAATGCATATACAGTATGCAAACCCAACCCCCCCCCCCTCCAAATGCATATACAGTATGCAAACCTAACCCCCCTCCCCAAATGCATATACAGTATGCAAACCTAACCCCCCCTCCAAATGCATATACAGTATGCAAAACCTAACCCCCCCCTCCAAAATGCATATAAACAAACTTAACCCCCCAAATGCATATATGCAAACCTAAAACCCCCAAAAGCATATATACAAAAACTTAACTCCCCCCCCTCCGACGCATACGTACAAACCTAACCCCCCCCCTCCGATGTATACGTACAAACCTAACCCCCCCTCCGATGAATACGTGCAAACCTAACCCCCCCCCCCCCTCCGATACATACATACATACAAACCTAACCCCCCCCCCCCTCCGATACATACATACAAACCTAACCCCCCCCCCCTCCGATATATACATACAAACCTAACCCCCCCCCCATACAAACCTCCGATACATACATACATACATACATACATACATACATACATACATACATACATACAAACCTAACCCCCCCCCCTCCGATACATACATACATACATACATACAAACCTAACCCCCCCCTCCGATACATACATACAAACCTAACCCCCCCTCCGATACATACATACAAACCTAACCCCCCCTCCGATACATACATACAAACCTAACCCCCTACTACATACCTAAACTCTCCAGTGCATATACAGTATGCATTCTGACACTCCCATTGTCAATGTGCATGCCGTTAAATTGTGCAGCCAAGGATCTTCGTGCTGTAAATCGAACGTACATGTGTCCTGCCTGTGGATTTCACCGGGTGACATTACTGGCGGTCACATGACTGCGTGTCACCAATATTGGGTGGGCAGCCAAGCATCTCCAGGGCAACTAGTGACCCACATAACAAAAGAAAAAAAAAAAAACCCTCCCCTGGGAATGGGGGTTGGTGTAACAGCAGCTTCTGCATCCCTCCTCCTATTGTATGATAGCTGGAAATAAAGAGAGGGGGCAATCCCATCACTCCCCAATCACAATGACCTGTCCATCAGGGCAAACACCAACAAGGGGGGGGGGGAGGCGAGATGCTGGGGAGAAAGTGCTGCTTATCCCGAATAATGGGCTGTAGGATTAAAATAAAAACAAGGGATAGCCCCCAACCCCCCCTTCCTGGCATGAGCGGAGAGTGCAGTCACATGCAGAAATTTGGAGAAGCTGAAGCAGACAGTCACCTGAGCTTACAAGTCACTGACTATCATGACACCAAATCCAAACTCCCAACATTGTATCCTTACCCAATGCCACTTCCAGGTCAGTAACCGCCAACACACAGGGGGGTCAAGGTGCTCCCTCAGTCCTCACAGTCTACATGGACTTACTCCTGATCACCTGGCCTTAAGTATAGCCCCGCCCCCAGAGCCAGCACACCTCTTCCTGTTTGTGTAATGGTATGACTGTTCCAGCAATTAACCCTTCATTACACGCTGCCGTCTGGGAACACCGACAAAGTTGCCCGCAGTAACCAACCAAATTTGCTGCTGCACGCCAATGCAGATGCTTGATTGGCCGGTGTGGACAAAAGCTTCAGTTTATTTATTTTATTTTTGCTCCCCAGATATATAATCTTTGAGGGGTCCAGGGAGTGGAGGAAAATCCTTCTGTCCCTCCCCGCATGGAAAAAAAACACCGCTTGACGAACGCGTGGAACCGCGCAATGCTTGGGAGTGGAAGAAAATCCTTCTGTCCCTCCCCGCATGAAAAAAAAAAAAACCGCTTGACGAACGCGTGGAACCGCGCAATGCTTGGGAGTGGAAGAAAATCCTTCTGTCCCTCCCCGCATGAAAAAAAAAAAATCGCTTGACGAACGCGTGGAACCGCGCGATGCTTGGAAGTGGAAGAAAATCCTTCTGTCCCTCCCCGCATGAAAAAAAAAAAAACGCTTGACGAACGCGTGGAACCGCGCAATGCTAAGGAGTGGAAGAAAATCCTTCTGTCCCTCCCCGCATGAAAAAAAAAAAACGCTTGACGAACGCGTGGAACCGCGCAATGCTAAGGAGTGGAAGAAAATCCTTCTGTCCCTCCCCGCATGAAAAAAAAAACGCTTGACGAACGCGTGGAACCGCGCAATGCTAAGGAGTGGAAGAAAATCCTTCTGTCCCTCCCCGCATGAAAAAAAAAAAACGCTTGACGAACGCGTGGAACCGCGCAACGCTCAAAGTGCTGCCTGAGCCTCCTGGATGCGTAGGGTGTCCCGCTCAAAGAAATGGGTCTGCCCTAAAGCTTGGGTTCACATCCATGCATGTGCAGTTTGCTGCATTTTAAGATCAGTTTTGCCTTTTCTCATGTTTGATGTATTTTTAATGTGTTTTTGGGATGTGCTAATGTTGCTACAGGGGAGTGGCTGTTGTCATGCAGAAAAACGCACCAAAAACACATGCTTTTTTATGCGATTTTACTGAAGTCTACTGTATCAAAAACACACTGTGCTGCGTGTAAAAACTTCCCTGCACCTTTCCAAAAAAACGCACCAGTGGATACTGCATAGAACGTGTCCCATAGGATGGAATGTTGAATGGACCGTAGTGCATTTCTGCCAATAGCTGTGAACCTAAACATGGCACCCGCCATCACACATCATAGTTCCTCACTGCACAGATTTATGTGTGTTTTAAATGTGCAACAGCTTCAATTTCCTTTTTCTTCTTTTTTGACCCACAGAAGTCATTCTCAGAGGTCCGTGTTGTCCAGGAAATCCTCCCTGTCCCTCTGTCCTCCTTTGTATTTGTCCCTTTTTAGGTATGATATATAAATACAAATGTCTAAAGCAAGTCAATGATGCGTACTTATGGAAAACGCTTGACCAGTATGAGGTCCACGCCATGATTATTATTATTATTATACAGGATTTATATGGCGCCAACAGTTTGCTCAGCACTTTACATTATAACGGGAGACAATACAGCAACAATACAGTTCAATACAAGAGGGATAGGAGGGCCCTGATCCTGGGAGCTTACAATCTAAGAGGGAGGGGCTGGTGGTACAAAAGGTACTAACTGTGGGGGATGGACTGGTAGGAGGAATAGAAGATTCCGTTATTAGCTGAAGGCGGGATAGGCTTCCCTGAAGAGATAGGTTTTCAGAAATCGCCCAATAGTGAGCAGAGTAGGCGATAGTAGGATAAATTGGGGTAGAGAGTTCCAGAGGATGGGGGAGGCTCTGGAGAAGTCCTGGAGAGGAGCACGGGAGGAGGAAACAAGGGAGCTAGAGAGCAGGAGGTCATGGGAGGAGTGGAGAGGACGGTTTGGGTGATATTTGGAGGCACAATTGGTGATGTAATTTGGGGCAGAGTTATACATGGCTTTATATGTTATTGGTAATGTTTCGAATTTTATTCTTTGGGCAATGGGAAGCCAGTGGAGGGATTGGCAGAGAGGAATTTTACAATAGTAATTAATGGCAGCGTACTCTGCTAGATTCTGTCTGGGGTCCAGAAACAATAAACTCAAAATCGGTGTCCAAATAAACTGATATACAAAAATCAATAACAAAAAGATCAATACCCTATATTTTGACACT